CCACGGAGAGCTGGAGCTGCTGTGGTTTAGGTGGCCAGGCCAGGGGTGGCGCCAGGGCCATGCGGACGGGGGCAGACATGCCTCCTAGAGCCCCAGATAGGAGCCATTAATGGTTCTGAGTGGCTTCCTGGCATGGGGACCTGGTGGCCACATGGCAGAGCGGGCCGTGGAGGGGCTGCGGGCTTGGGGCTGTGGCCCCCTTGCTTCCTCCGCTCTGGCTCCCCTCAGGCTCCCCTCAGCCTCCCTACGGTTGCCAGTGAGAGGGTGAACCGGAGACTCCTTGGGAATGGGCTGTGCCAGGCTTCTGGAGTGCTCGTTGACACAGTAGGTGCATCCCGGCCAGACTCTGGGCTGGAAGAGAGCCTGGGATTGAGGGCGCTGGGAAGGAAAAGTCAGCAGCCTCGGCAGGTGGCTGGGCCTCCCCTCAGGGGCTTTGCCAAGCCGGTTTGCCCCTGGCTCCTTGCCTGTCAGGAGGAGTGCATGAAGCTACAGAGAATGTAGGCGGTTTCAGGCACAGGGTCATTGGTGGGGTTGGACAGGAGGGAGCCCTGCCTGGGAAGGCCCCGTGCTCTGGGGTCACCCCAGGTTCTTGGCACTACCCCTTTACCTGAGAGCCTCTGGCTTCCCAACTGGAACAGGGAACTAATCCTGGCCCCCTACACTCCAGCGTGTCAGAGAATGAAGAGAGGGCGGCCAGGGACGGGAGGGGCAGGTATGATCCACATCCAGAGCCCTCCACCGGCTCTGAGAACAAGGGCCAGGGTAATGTGCAGGCTGTGAGTCCAGGCAAGGGTCTAATCCCTGTCCCTAGGACACTCCCTCCGTTGTGGCTGACACGGCCTAGTCCTGGACAGCATGTTTATGCAGTGGGCTCCAAGTATCAGCTGTGGGCCGAGCCAGCCTTTTAAAAATAATGGCCCCAACATTTATCAGCTGTGACTTAACTTCTTGGTGCCTTAGTTCCCTATCTGTAAAGTGCAGATGATAAACCAACCTCCAGAGTGACCCTGAGGTTAACTGTGAAGAGTGCTAAGTACAAATGGGAAGCACTCAATGAATGTTGGTTGGCTATTTCTATTAAGCTGAGAGCTGAGCGCACAGTACTTGGTGATTCAGAGCACCTTTTGTGGAACAGTCTTTCAGAGCCAGCGAAGAAATGCCTGCTTTCTCAATTTGGGGAGGGGGCCGTCCCCCAAGGGGGTGTCACTGCTGGTGTCTGCCATCCCCAGGTTTTCTCCTGGGCTGGGTCTCCGGGGAAGGCTGGGTAGCACTGCCCCCTGCGGTAGGCATGGGTAACTTCAGGGCCATTTGGGTGGGAATGGTCCCGGGAGGCCTGGTTCGCGCCCCCCCCCCCATCTTTTCTCACCCCACAGATCTACCGGAGGTGCTGGCTGGTGTTCCGGAAATCCTCCAGCAAGGGGCCCCAGCGGCTGGAGAAGTATCCGGATGAGAAATCAGTGTGCCTCCGAGGCTGCCCCAAGGTTAGAGGGGCTTGGGCCCTAGCTCCCCCGGTCTGTAAGCAGTGATGATTTGCTGCATGCTGAGGTCCGCGAGCACCCTCCTGGGGGTGGCACAACTGGGGAGGGATGTAGAGGGTGGCGCTCCAGCATGGCTCAGTCCCTTGTGGACGCTGTCCCAGGTGACCGAGATCAGCAACGTCAAGTGTGTCACGCGGCTCCCCAAGGAGACCAAGAGGCAGGCGGTGGCCATCATATTCACTGACGACTCGGCGCGTACCTTCACCTGCGACTCAGGTGAGGCGCTGGGGCTGTGGGCTTCCATCCAGCCTCCCCCGGGGCCAGTCGTGGTCCAATCGGGAGGAGGCAGAGCAGGAGCAGCCCCGGCTGGGTATGATGTGTGGGGATGAAAGGAGTGGGGGGGCCTTTGAGGGAGCAGGTCCCCAGGATGAGGCGGGACAGGCAGGCAGGATCCACTGGCCTTGCCCTCCCTGCCTTGCACGGTGGGAATACTTTAAGCTGAGGCAGATGGGGTGGGCTGCTGGGGGACCCTGGGCGGGCACGAGCTACCGCTTTCTCTAGAGCTGGAGGCGGAGGAATGGTACAAGACGCTGTCCGTGGAGTGTCTGGGTTCACGACTCAACGACATCAGTCTCGGCGAGCCGGACCTCCTGGCCCCAGGAGTGCAGTGTGAGCAGACAGGTGAGGCCTGGCACTGGCAAGGGGCCAGCGGGGGGGGGGGGGGGGAGTCCTCCCCTGGGGAGGCTCCAGGCCCGCTCCTCCCTCACTGCAGACCGCTTCAACGTCTTCCTGCTGCCCTGCCCCAACCTGGATGTGTATGGCGAGTGCAAGCTGCAGATCACCCACGAGAACATCTACCTCTGGGACATACACAACCCCCGCGTGAAGCTCGTCTCGTGGCCCCTGTGCTCACTGCGCCGCTACGGCCGGGATGCCACGCGCTTTACCTTCGAGGCTGGCCGGTAGGACCCCCTTGCCTCCCTGCCCTGACCCACTGTGGGCCTCTTGGCCGCCCTTCATGCTGTCACGCACGGGGCTGGGAGTTTTAGTCATTTATCAGCACAGAAAACCAGAAGGGAATGTAAGATACCCATTTTACAGATGAAGACGTCGAGGCTCACGCAGGCAGCCAGGGCACAGCTGTTTACCAAAGTCAAGCTGCTTGGGCTCAAGTCAGAGCGGGTGCCGGGGCTTACAGTTGTGTCAGTGGGCAGAGGCTTCGTTTCTTCAAATAGGAAATCAGAAAAGTACGCCCCCTCGTAGAATTACAGTGAGGACTGGGCATCCTCTAGCGAGCGGGCCTCGACCTACACTCTGTGGAATCCTCTGTATGACCTGGGCTTGGTTACTGACTGCCTGCGTGCCTGTTTCCTCATCTGCAAACTGGTTCTAGAAAGCTCAGTGGAAGGCTAATGGTGCGCAGCCCAGAGGGGCGAGAGAGAAGACCGAGTGGGCGGGTTCTTGTCAAGCACTGAGCTCATCTGGTACCCAGAAACGGCCCGGCACGTCTGGGCTGTGCGCACAGCCCTCCGGCCACCAGCCCTGCCTGTTCCCCAGAGGGCCCGGGGTGCGGTCCCCAACACCTTGCCCTCTATGCCTCTCGCATCCCTAGGATGTGCGATGCTGGGGAAGGGCTCTACACCTTCCAGACCCAGGAAGGGGAACAGATTTACCAGCGGGTCCACAGTGCCACCCTGGCCATCGCTGAGCAACACAAGCGCGTGCTGCTGGAGATGGAGAAGAACGTGCGGGTGAGGCTCTGGGCATCAGCCAGTCCAGGGTGCCGGGGAAGCCAGGGGGCGGGCGGGGCGTTGGGCGGACAGCTGGGAGGAAACCACGGCCCCCAGAGCTGAAGGGAGGGACCCCCCCGCCCGCTCTGCCCCGCAGCTGCTGAACAAGGGCGCGGAACATTACTCGTATCCCTGCACGCCCACCACCATGCTGCCCCGCAGCGCCTACTGGCACCACATCACAGGCTCCCAGAACATTGCTGAGGCCTCCAGCTATGCCGGTGAGTCCCCGCGGTGCTCCCCTGCCATGGGGCTGTGGAGGACAAGGCCTTCCGCGCAGGGGTTCTTGGACCTGCCCGAGGCCTGAGCCTGCCTCTTGTGTCCACAGGTGAGGGGTACGGGGCAGCCCAGGCCAGCTCAGAGACAGACCTCCTCAACCGATTCATCCTGCTAAAGCCAAAGCCCAGCCAGGGGGACAGCAGCGAGGCCAAGACCCCAGCCCAGTGACAGCGGGGCTGGTGCACTGCAGGACCGCCCACGGCGTACCGTGGACAGCCTCTGGGGGCTGCCAGCCCAGAGCCTGGAGAAACGGAGCAAGCTGTCCCTTCCTTGCCCCCAAGGGTGAGCCTGGACAAAGGCACAGGGCTGGCCACAGCACCAGAGCATGTGTGAGGGCTGGAGCTACTGTGGGACTGTATACTGTTAAGGATTTTAATATATATGGCTTATGACATATTCTATATTAAGGAGATTTCCCCCTCCCTCCCCACGACATACACTTTTAATCCCACGACCAGGTCCCAGTCGAGGCTGTTTTTGAATGTGAGGACAGCTGTCCCGTCCTCTGTGGGGCAGCCCTCCAGCTGCCAGGATGGGCTGGAGCTGCCAGGGCCAGAGGAGGGGACAGCTCAAGGCTGGCACTGGGACTGCTGGCTCTCCCTGAGCAACCCAGGGGCTAGGACAGCAAGTGGCTTCTCTGTTCCTCTGGGCCTCGTGTGGCACGGGAAGGATCTGAGCTTCCACGGTGCCACTTTGCAACCTTGCACTTGAGAGCTTTAAGCAGAGGTGACCGCTGGTTGACACCTCAAGTGAAAATCTGGTTTTAAAATGTAATTTCTGCCTAGGCTCCTTCCTGCTTCATAGGCTGAGAAGATACCCCAAGGGCAGGGGTGCTGGTTCCCTCAGCCAGACATGGAGGGTAGCCAGTCCCGAGCTCTTCCCTGCCGAAGGGCAGGCTGCAGCAGGACTGCTGTGGGGAACACCCCTGCTGCCCACCCCCCCATGACCGAGGGTAGGTGATGTCCCAGCAGAGGGAGCCCCTCTGCCCAGGGCAGCCCCCCTCTGGCCAGCCAAAAGCACTCAAACCGAGCCCTTCCCCTTTCCTCTTCCCCACATGGTGCTGAGGCTCCCTGCTGAAATGCAATTAAAGCAATTGATTTTCTAGTGCTGGTATTTATTGACTACCTTGCAGAAGGGCTATCTTTCTATTCCCATCAAACCTTGGGTTGCGTGTGTGGTTTTTTTTTTTTAAATAACTTTAGGGTTCTGATTTGTGGGAACAGACCTTGTTGTAAATAACCACTATTCAAGTTGTGACAGGAGGATCCAGCCAGAGGCCCCTCCCAGAGAGCCCTGGATCCGGGGAGGGGGCCACAGCCAGCTCAGCTCCAAACCTGACCCAGGGAATGACCACCCAGAGGAATAAACTGAAGATGGGAGCCTGGGGCCAAAGGCCTTGGAGAGGGAGGCAGGACTGGGCTGGCTCAAGTTAGTGGCACGATGACGCATGAAGGAGATGATGTTGTGCTCTTTATTGCCAAAAATAAAAACTTTTAAAAAGACAGCTCCTGTTAATAAATATCCCTTCCTTTCTGCACCAGAGCTCTGGTTTTCTCCTGGCTTCTCCTAACAGACTGCCTAATCAACTGCTTTGGGCATGACTCTACCTCTAGGGGTAAGGGGTCAAGGCCAGACCTTCATTAAGGCCCTTGCTCCCCAGCCCCCAATCTTAAATAATCAGGCCACTGGCAGTGAAGTTGGAAAAACGGTTTATCTGGGGTGGGGGGCAGCCAGTGTCTAACACTATTCTCTAAGGGTTCTCAACTTAGGGACACTCAAGGATTTGAGTGAAGTGCCAGTAGGCTGGCTCTGGGCAGGGGCTGGAAGGGTTTGTAGGCAACCAGAATGAGGGTTTTAGTACTCACCAGAAGCCCAACGTACAACTGTGAGAACAACTTTTGGACAGAAAGTTTAAGACCTGAACTGACCAGTAGAGGACAGTTCAGCTCTGCAGTTCTCACCCCACCCAGGCACACCGGGAAACGGGCTGGAAGGGATGTTCTGGGGGTACTACTGGCAATCAGGGGGCGGGGGCAGGGCCAGGGATCCTAGATGTCTAGTAAAAAAACTGTCCTGCCTCAGATACCAGTGGCACCCCCGGCCATCTGTCTGCAATGAAGCAAGGCTGGAAGGGGACTCCTCTTCCCCTTGGCTACCTTCCTAGGGGGTACTGATGGCTTGCCAAGAAGCCTGAGCAACAGCTGTCTAGACCCAGAAGCTACAAGAGGCTCTGAAGAGACCAGAGAGCCAGCTGCTGGCCTAGACTCCCCCCCACCCCTTTTCTGCCAAAACAGGTGAGCTGCCGCTAGTTTATGGTTAGGACATCACTCTGGATCTCATGGCTTAACTGGGTCTGTAAATCACTCAGCTTCTTCTTCAATCCAGAGAGGGCTGAGAGGACAATTGTTTCGGGACGCAGAGAGCCACAGGACTCCACGTTGTAGTAAAACCTAAGAGGAAGAGTCGGGTGAGAGCCCTCCACGAGGCAGGCTCACTAGCCCGAGCTTCAGCCCGGGATCATGCGCTCTCCCTTCTGGGTCCTGACTCCCTTCCCACCTGGAACTCGGCCAACAGCAGTCCTGCTGCACATTACAGGACTTCAAGGCCACAGCCACCTCAAAAAGCTTCATGTTCATCATCAGAAGACTGGTCCATTTCTGGCTCTGGCCTGGTCCCCTTCTCTGGGGGTTGAGTATCAACAGTAGGAACAGAGTGGCTAACCGGAGGGCTCCTCTGTCCCCCAATAACTAGTGGAGGATAATCTGCCCTGGGACGTGCACGTGGCATGGGCTCCACTGTTCTCCGTCCTTCCTGAGCTCACGGGCACTGGGACGTGAGAGAAGGGTCTCCCCAACTCAGAACCTGCACCAAAACCCTATGTTCTTCCACGCTTCACCTTCAGGTGCCAGACGAGGGTCTTACCTCTCTGGCTTGCCGTTGGGGTCGTAGGGAGCCTGGGACTCATCTTCATCCAGCTCAGAGTACTCACTCTTTGGCCTGAGGTCAAATACAAGTCAGCACAGGCAGCTACCACTGCTGTCCACAGGGAGCCTACCCCCACCCCGCTCCCTCAGAGCCCTGTCCACACCAACCCACCCTAAGGCCTGCCTTTACTCCGACAAGAACATACCATTCCTCGGGCTTGGGGTACACTGTGTGCCTCAGGGCATTGTCAGGATCATATTCAAAAGCCACACCTGCAGTAGGGTTCCACTTGGCATGCTCCTTGCCAAAGCCCTTTTTGGCATAGGCTCGAAGTCTTAGCTCCTGGCCTTTCCTTAGCTTGACAATAAGGATGTCTGCAGGGAGAGGTTTAAGTCGGTCAAGGGGCGGTAGAGACACGGTCCCCTGAATTTTGACCTGGAGGTCCCCACACGATCTGGACAAACAGTTCAAAGGTCAGATGACAAGGAGAGCAGGCGGCACAAGAGGCTTGTGGGTCTCAGCCTCCGTGCTGGCCTGCAAAACGACAGGGCAGGTAGACACACGCACACGTTCTCCAGCCCCTTACCGTCCTGTTCCACGTAGTCATTGGGGTCATTATCTCGGTTCCGGGAGGTCACCTGCAGGGAGCCCAAACAGAGGCATGTATGAGCTAGCTGTCGGTCGCCCCAGTCACCTCTTCCAGCAACTATGTTCCAACACCTGCCAAACCTGGGAATGAAGGGAAAGAAGTGCCTCCTAGGACCTCATGGGTACCGCCTTCTCAGTCAAAACAGTACCATGGCCTTTAAAAGGGTCCTTGGGTGACAGAGGACGGGCCCACAGCACCGACCGTGTTCCTGTCCACCCTGGCTAGTGTCCAGGAGTATCAGCACTTCTTAGGCACCAGACACAGGAAGACAGAGGGTAAAACACAAGGAATATCCGCATCTGGTAACAAACCACCCGAGTCTAGCCCACTTTGAGAGAAAAGGAGGACGATGAGGGTCCCGGGAAAGGAGGATGTGCTGAGACACTGACTGGAATGACCCGGGGGCTGTTGGAGATGAGGTCTCGAGACGTGACATGACGAGTTTGGTCTTCGTTACAGCGCACGTCAAGGGTGAACTCCACCGAGCACTCGGGGCAGAACTCCTCACACGTGCAGTCCTGACAGAGGAAGAGAAGCAGGAATGAGTCCACGGAGAGATGGCAAATGCTGAGCTCCCTGTTTCTCATACCCCATTCCTTCCGTTTTTCCAGCTGTAAAACAGCCGGCCACAGGCTCTGGGCACTGGGGGGCCGTGTCCATCTGGTACATCGTTCTCACGGGCTGCCCAATGCAGGCACTTCCCAGATTAGAGACAACCTATACCCACTGGCCCCCATGTTTTCCTTCCACCTCCGCCAGCTACCAGACCACACTGCAGGGAGACGCTGTGCTAACATCCCACCCTGGCCCTTGGGGTGCTCTTTGGCCAAGAACCAAGGCGTTAAGTAAGAGAATGATGCTTTCGTGCTTTATAGGGCAGCCTCCCCTGAACTAAGTGGACTAGCTTGGGAAGGTCACCATCGTTTAAAATAAAATGATCCAGGGGCGCCTGGGTGGCTCAGATGGGTAAGCGTCTGCCTTCGGCTCAGGTCATGATCCCAGGGTCCTGGGATCAAGCCCCACATCGGGCTCCTGGCTCAGCGGGGAGTCTGCTTCTCCCTCTCCCTCTCTCCCTGCTCATGCTCTCTCTCTCTCTCTCTCTCTGTGTGTGTCTCAAATGAATAAAATATTTGAAAAAAAATAAATAAAATGATCCAGAGCACAACTCAAAAAATTACCTTTCAAGTTCTAGACTACTTACCTTTTCTTAAAAACAAAATCTTTCCATTATGGAAAATTTCATATATTCACAAGAGCACAGCAAGTATTAGAGGCTGCTACCATGTAACCATCACTCGGCTTCAATCATCATCAATAGTTCTTTAAGCAACTGATGCTGCAAACAAACCATTAGGGACCATCTGCTACAGTGTAACTTCAGACAAGAAGAGTTACTGGAATGTAACCAAGCAAACTGTTCTCCCCATCACACCAGCAGGAAAATCTAACCTGATTCTGATGTTTTTGAGATGAGAAAGAACAAGGGGCCACACCTGGATAGTCTGCAGTCATACACAGGTTGAGGCAGGAAGGTAACGTAGAGCTTTAGCAGAAATATGAAATGGAAGGGGGCACCTGGCTGGCTCAGTCCGTGAAGCATGCGACTCTTCATTTTGGGGTCGTAAGTTCGAGATCCACATCAGGTGTAAAAATAACTTAAAAAAACTAAAAACCCCAAATAAAAAAGCAAGACACATCGATATTCTGTCTGCAAGACACTCATTTCAGACCCAAAGACACCTCCAGATTTAAAGTGAGGGGGTGGAAAACCATTTATCATGCCAATGGACATCAGAAGAAAGCTGGGGTGGCAATCCTATCAGACAAATTAGATTTATTTTTTTTTAAGATTTTATTTATTTGAGAGAGAGACAGAGCAAGAGACAGCAGGAGGTGGGAGGAGAGGGAGAGGCAGGCTCCCCAATGAGCAGGAAGCCCAATGCGGGGCTCGATCCCAGCCTGGGATCATGACCTGAGCTGAAGGCAGACGTTTAACCGACTGAGCCACCCAGGCACCGCCAAATTAGATTTTATTTTTAAGATTTTATTTATTTGACAGGGACACAGCAAGAGATGGAACCTAGGCAGAGGGAGTGAGAGAGGGAGAAGCAGGCTTCCCGTGGAGCAGGGAGCCCAATGTGGGGCTCAATCCCAGACCCTGGCATCATCATCTAAGCTGAAGGCAGATGCTTAACGACTGAGCCACCCAGGTGCCCCCTCAAATTAGATTTTAAACCAAAGACCATAATGAGAGATGAGGAAGGACACTATAGCACACTTAAAGGGTCTATCCAACAAGAAGATCTAACAATTATAAATATTTATGCCAACATGGGAACAGCCAATTATATAAGCCAAGTAATAACAAAATCAAAGAAACACATCGACAATAATACAATAATAGTAGGGGACTTTAAATGACACACTGGACCAGATGGACTTCACAGATATACTCAGAACATTCCATCCCAAAGCAACAGAATACACATTCTTCCCTAGTGCACATGGAACATTCTCCAGAATAGATCACATTCTGGGTCACAAATCAGGTCTCAACCAGTACCAAAAGACTGGGATCATTCCCTGCAAATTTTCGGACCACAATGCTATGAAACTGAAACTCAATCACAAGAGGAAAGTTGAAAAGAACTCAAATACATGGAGGCTAAAGAGCATCCTACTAAAGAATGAATGGATCAACCAGGAAATTAAAGAAGAATTAAAAAAATTCATGGAAATGGGGCGCCTCGGTGGCTCAGATGGTTAACTGTCTGCCTTCGGCTCAGGTCATGATCCCAGGACCCTGGGATCAAGCCCCGTGTCAGGCTCTCCCTCTCTCCACTGCATGTGCTCTCTTGCTCTGTCAAATAAAATCTTTAAAAAAACAAAACAAAAAAACTCATAGAAACAAATGAAAATGAAAACACAACTGTTCAAAAGGTGGTCTTAAGAGAAAAGTATATAGCAATACAAGCCTTTCTCAAGAAACAAGAAAGTTCTCAAATACACAACCTAACCTTACACCTAAAGAAGCAGGAAAAAGGACAGGAAATAAAGCCTAAACCCAGCAGGAGAAGAGAAATGATAAAGATTAGAGCAGAAATTAATGAAAAAGAAACCAAAAGAACAGTAGAAAAGATCAACGAAACTAGGAGCTGGTTCTTTCAAAGAATAAGATTAGTAAACCCCTGGACAGACTTATCAAAAAGAAAAGAGAAAGGACTCAAAATCATGAATGAAAGAGGAGAGATCACAACCAACACCAAATACAATTATAAGACATATTATGAGCAACTATATACCAACAAATTAGACAATCTGGAAGAAATGGATGCATTCCTACATATAAACTACCAAAACTGAAACAGGAACAGAAAACCTGAACAGACCCATAACCAGCAAGGAAATTGAAGCAGTAATCAAAAATCTCCCAACAAATAAGAGCCCAGGGCCAGATGGCTTCCCAGGGAAATTCTACCAAACATTTAAAGAAGAATTAATATTCTTCTGAAACTGTTCCAAAAAAATAAAAATGGAAGGAAAACTTCCAAACTCATTTTATGAGGCCAGCATTACCTTGATCCCAAACCAGATGAAGACCCCACCAAACAGGAGAATTACAGACCAATATCCCTGATGAACATGGATGCAAAAATTCTCACCAAAATACAACAGGATCTAACAGTACAATAAAAGGATTATTCACCACGACCAAGTGGGATTTATTCCTGGGCTGCAAGGTTGGTTCAACATCCACAAATCAATCAACGTGATAGAATACATCGATAAAAGAAAGAACAAGAACCATATGATCCTCTCAATAGATACAGAAAAAGCATTTGACAAAGTACAGCATCCTTCCTTGATCAAAACTCTTCAGAGTATGGGGATAGAGAGTATATACCGCAATATCATAAAAGCCATCTATGAAAAACCCACAGCGAGTGTCATTCTCAATGGGGAAAAACTGAAAGCATTCTCCCTAAGGTCAGGAACGCGGCAGGGATGTCCACTATCACCACTGCTATTCAACATTAGTACTAGAAGTCCTAGCCACAGCAATCAGACAACAAAAAGAAATAAAAGGCATCCGTATCGGCAAAGAAGTCAAACTCTCACTCTTTGCAGATATGATACTTTATGTGAAAAACCCAAAAGACTCCACCCCAAAACTGCTAGAACTCATACGAATTCAGTAAAGTGGCAGGATATAAAAATCAATGTACAGGAATCAGTTGCATTTCTATACACCAATAACAAGACAGAAGAAAGAAATTAAGGGGTCGATCCCATTTACAACTGTACCCAAAACGTTTTCGTAAGATACCTAGGAATAAATCTAAGCAAAAAGGCAAAGAATCTGTACTCGGAAAATTTTAGAATACGCATGAAAGAAATTGAAGACGACATAAAGAAATGGAAAAACGTTCCATGCTCATGGATTGGAAGAATATTGTTAAAATGTCTATGCTACCTAGTGCACTACATGTTCAATGCAATCCCTATCAAAATACCATCAACTTTTTCACAGAAATGGAACAAATAATCCTAAAATTTGTATGGAACCAGAAAAGACCCCAAATAGCCAGAGGAATGTTGAAAAAGAAAACCAAAGTTGGTGGCATCACAATTCCGGACTTCAAGCTCTATTACAAAGCTGTAATCAAGCAGTATGGTGCTGGCACAAAAACAGACACATAGATCAATGGAACAGAAGAGAGAGCCCAGAAATGGACCCTCAACTCTATGGTCAACTCATCTTCGACAAAGCAGGAAAGAACGTCCAATGGAAAAAAGACAGTCTCTTCAACAAATGGTGTTGGGAAAATTGGACAGCCACATGCAGAACAATGAAAAGTGGACCATTTCCTTACACCACACACAAAAATAGACTCAAAATGGATGAAAGACCTAAATGTGAGACAGGAATCCATCAAAATCCTTGAGGAGAACACAGCAGCAACCTCTTCGACCTTGGATGCAGCAACTTCTTCCTAGACAGATCGCCAAAGGCAAGGGAAGCAAGGGCAAATATGAACTATTGGGACTTCATCAAGATAAAAAGCTTTCACACAGCAAAGGAAACAGTCAACAAAACCAAAGACAACCGACAGAATGGGAGAAGATATCTGTAAATGACATATCAGATAAAGGGCTAGTATCCAAAATCTATAAAGAACTTATCAAACTCAACCCCAAGGAATAATCCAGAAACATCCAAATGGCCAACAGACACATGAAAAAGTGCTCAACATCACTCAGTATCAGGGATACAAATCAAAACCACAATGAGAGGGGCGCCTGGGTGGCTCAGTCGTTACGCGTCTGCCTTCAGCTCAGGTCATGATTCCAGGGTCCTGGGATCAAACCCCACATCAGGCTCCCTGCTCTGCAAGAAGCCTGCTTCTCCCTCTCCCATTCCCCCTGCTTGTGTTCCCTCTCTCGCTGTCAAATAAATAAAAATCTTAAAAAAAACAAAAAACAAAAAAAACTCCCACAATGAGATACCACCTCACATCAGTAAGAATGGCTAAAAGTAACAATTCAGGAAACTATAGATGTTGGCGAGGATGCGGAGAAGGGGGAACCCCTTACACTGTTGGCGGGAATGCAAGCTGGTAGAGCCGCTCTGAAAAACAGTATGGAGGTTCCCCAAAAAGTTGAAAATAGAGCTACCCTATGACCCAGCAATTGCACTACTGGGTATTTACCCCAAAGATACAAATGTAGGGATCCAAAGGAGCATCTGCACCCCAAGGTTATTTTTTTTTACCCCAAGGTTTATAGCAGCAATGTTCACAATAGCCAAACTATGGAAAGAGCCCAGATGTCCAATGACAGATGAATGGATAAAGATGTGGTATACACACAATGGAATATTATGCAGCCATCAAAAAATGGAATCTTGCCAATTGCAACAACAACGTGGATAGAACTAGAGGAGGGTATTATGCTAAGCGAAATAAGTCAATCAGAGAAAGACAAGTATCATAAGAGCTCACTGATATGTGGAACTTGAGAAACAAGGCAGAGGGTCATAGGGGAACAGAGGAAAGAATGAAACAAAACGAAACCAGAGAGGGAGACAAATCATAAGAGACTCTTAATCTCAGGAAACAAACTGAGGGTTGCTGGAGTGGAGGGGGGTGGGAGGGATGGGGTGGCTGGGTGATGGACATTGGGGAGGGTATGTGTTGTGGTGAGCGCTGTGTATTGTCTAAGACTGATGAATCACAGACCTCTACCCCTGAAACAAATACATTATATGTTAACAAAAAAACCCAAAACTATTAAAAATATGAAATGGAAAAAGCAAAATGTCATGAAAAATAAAAATATGAAATGGTACACAACCTTAAAAAAATGTATTTAACAAAAGGAGAGGAATCTGAGATTAAGAGACTAAAGAGGTATAACCACCAAATGCATGCGTGAATCTTGGATGAATGACCAACCCACAGACAAAAAGCAAGAAAGGCTGTGTGGGCGACAACTAGGAAAATCTGCATGAGGACTGCGCACAAACGTGACCAGTTAGTGCTAATACTCTAGGCATGACAGCGTGGTTATGTGGGAGAGTACCCTTACTCTTAGGACAAGCATGCTGAAGTGCCATGGTATCTGCAACTTTCTTTCAAATGGTTCAGCAAAAATAACACGGATAGGATAAATAAAGCTAATGTAGCAAAATATTAACAATTGGCAACTAAAGGTCAAAAGTAAATAGCTATTTATTTTTTGAGGTTTTTAACTTTTCTGGAGATTCGGAGAAAAAGCCAAAAACAGGGTAGGGGGATCCATACCATCTTTGTTCAGTAAATATTAGAAAAAAATTTAACAGACAGAAGCTAGGTCTTAGTGCATGCGTATCTTTACCTAAGACATTGCCAAACTGCTCTTCAACTGGTTGTACAACTATACCCACCAATATCTGTAGGTTTTTTTTTTTTTTTGATTTATTTATTTAAAGAGAGAAACACAGATAGCGACAGAGACAGCAAGCAGGGAGGAGAGGGAGAAGCAGGCTCCCCGCTGAGCAGGGAGCCTGATGCGGGACTCGATCCCAGGACCCTGGGATCAGGACCCAAGCCGAAGGCAGACACTTAACCAACTGAGCCACCGAGGCGCCCCTGATGTTTCATTTCTTACAAACAAAAATCTGGAGATGTGAAGCAGATATTGCAAAATGTTAGAATATGACAAGTTGTTTGACAGGAGCGAGAGCACTGGTCAGATAAACTCCACACTTCTCTGTGTGCTTAAACATCTCTTTAAAAAAACACAGATTTATAACATGTATCAAGTTAGCTACCACAAAAATGATGTGCCCTTGGGAATATCAGAAGATGGGCTGATTCAGGATCACCCAAAGCCACCAAGAGGGAAGGCTCAAGCTGTTACCCAACGCAGCCCTGGGAAAAGGAAGCAGGGAACCTAATCCTGTCCCGCTCCCACCAAGTCCAAGGCCTGTTAACATATCACCAGAGAACAAACACGATCCTAGAGGAAGGGGCCATATTTAACGAGCATCACCTATGGGGAGAGGCACAGACACCTGCCTTCCAGTCCCTCAGGTGCTGCTGTGGGGGCCAGTCCTCACTCCCTCTGTTCTCACCCTCATGCCCTCCTAACCCCTCAACCCTCTGCTGACTCCCTTTAGCCTCCCAGCCTCCTGTTACTCGGAAAACACACCCTGGAAAGCAGAGTCTGAACAGATCGGAGTCTGAAAAGGCCCAACCCCCACCGTTCAGTATAAATGAGTATTCTGGTGTATACCGTCTTGTATGGCTGGCTAGAGAGACTCCCTGATGCCCCTGGAACCTAATCAATCTGAGGCCTGTCAGAATGGAGGACCCATGTCTGCTTAGGCTCCAGGCAACATCTCCACGCTAACAGCTAGAAGTTAAGAAGTGGGGGGAAAATGCCTCTGAGACCTGAACCTTCCACCCCCGCCCCCCTTCCCCCCAATCACACCGCATACCCGGGAGTACTGCAGCTTGTCCACAATGTCGTCACTAGTGAGGGGAATTAGTCCTGGAAGAAACAAAGAAGCACTTTAAAGAAGTCCAAATGGTCACGCCAGAAAGAGAACCTAAAAATCCCCTTGGAAGTGAGGAGGCTTCTCCCTCTGATACCAGGCATAGCCCTCCTCCCTTTCACCTTTCAAAACCCGCACTCACCAAGTCTGTGGGCAATGAACTCATCATGAAGGACTGAGGAATTGGCATCAATCTGAACCCAGTCAATGGCTAAAAAATAAAGCAGACATGCAGTTTAGCCACCAAATTCACTTAAAGACTTACAGCAGTGGTTCTCAAGATTTAAGAAACACCTGACGCTTACTAAATTACAAAAGCCTGGGCCAGGCTGCCAGAGGCTGATTCCGCAGCTCAAGTGGGGACCAGGGATCCGCATTTTAACAGGAACCACATGCAACACCCCCTCCTTCCCTACTCAGGCAGATTTAATGAGGGGGGGAGGGGGGTCCCTGTCCCATACAAAATACTGACTCAGAATACTCATGGGAGTGGGAACATGTTTCTTTGAACTGAGTTCTGTGAGAAGCATTTACGTCTGTTATTCCTGTCAACACCAAATCCAAGAACACAAACTACTCAGGCCCTTAAAAGTTAGGGAAAAATCTCAAAGACAGACTTATGGTCCATATCTCATTTTATGATGCAATGACCAGATTACCCAATTTAACACTTTATTATCAATCAGCCAATGTTTAGAGAACTCCTTTAATGGAAACAGCATACTAAATATCAAACCCAATGCTTACCAGGAATGAGCTAAGAGGATAAGAACTGTATTATCACACACACTTGACTTAAACACATATTCATTCATTAATAAACATCTGCATGCTGACAAATTCATAAATCAAATGGCCAACCACCAAACAAGGGGCGTGGACACTAGGAACAGAAGTCAGAAGAGTCAGAAGAGGACCAGACAGGACAAAGCAGATTGGGTCCTATGCTTTCTATTGCTTCCCCAACCCAAGCCAAAGAAGGATCATGAGCCAAGCTTTTCTGACTCTGCCTTACTCCCTCCCCCCTCCCCATCCCACATGCCCCAACCCTCTCCTGCGCAGGTTAAAATCCTCTGAGGCTCCTATAAACCAAGCTTTGCTCAACCTCCAGGATACAGATACCAACACTCCCTCCCTACAAGCTCCTCCCTCACAAGACTCTGCCCAGACTAAAGACACTTATTACATATATAAACACACAATATGTATGTCCTATACATATACGTATTATATATATACTTCAAAAATTTTTTTAGAGAGCGAGAGAACGAGGGTGGGAAGGGCAGAGGGAGATTCCACACTGAGCACAGAGCCTGATGCCGGGCTTGATCTCCCAACCCTAAGATCATGACCTGAGCCAAAAATCAAGAGTCAGATGCTTAACCAACTGTGCCACTCAGGCACCCCTACACTTGTCATATTTTGCCCTGTATTGTATTTGTATATATCTTGTCTCAACCTCACAGCTTCGAAAAATCCTTAGGGTGGAGTCTTCAAATGTCTTAACTTTTGCGTTCCCACTGTGGCCTGGAATGTAGCAAGTGCTACTATTTGCAGAACTGAATTTGTGGGAAAAATGGCATTTAGACTTGTAATGTCATGTTGCCTCAAAGTACAACTCCATGGGGCGCCTGGGTGGCTCAGTCATTAAGCGTCTGCCTTCAGCTCAGGTCATGGTCCCAGGGTCCTGGGATGGAGCCCCACATCCGGCTCCCTGCTCCTCAGGGAACCTGCTTCTCCCTCTACCTGCCGCACCCCCGCTTGTGCGCCGTCAAATAAAATCTTAAAAAAAGTACAACTCCGTTATTTCACTTATGATGAAACTGAGGCCCAGGAGACATGGAGTGATTAGGGAAGGGAAGGACCAGCACTCCAAGTTCTGAGCTGAAGAAGTGACTAGAGATGGTGGTGGTGGAAACTGCAATGCGCTCTTGTTTACCAATCATTTGGCCTGCTTATTTCCTTAGGAGTGCAGCAGCTGTGAGTTACACTTCTTTTTCCAACCCAAACTTTGAATTGACACTCAGTAAATATTTGTAATATATTTATAAATGTGAAAAATACCTGGAGCAGGGTGGCTGGAACCAGAACAGATCCTCCTTCCTCTGAGTGCCAACAGCACTGTAGTTATGCTTCTGAGCTACCTACTGATCCACGTCTATCCTGCAGTACTGTTATCCGTGGATTCGCCTTTGCCCTGCAACTTCACTGTGCGCTCCATGAGGGCAAGAACCCTGCACTATGCAGCTCTGCATTCCCAGTTCCTAGCACACTGCCTGGCAGTTACATGTTCTCTAAGTGCAGCTGAAGGAACGGATTCCCAAAAAGACACCTACTGGTACTGAACATAAGGCATTTAAAATAGGGATTCCCTCACTTAATCCTTGCCATCACCTTTTAAGTACTATTAATGTCCGAATGTTACAGAGAAAACCGCAGCACACAGTTGAAAAACTTGCCCAAGTTTCACAGGGACAGTACGTGAGAACGGTATTCAAATCCAAATACGCAGACTCCCGAACCCCCGCTCCTCACCGACGCGTATGTAAGAGTGGACCCTAGCGGCCCTGGGCCAGCGGTACAGCACTGCTGTCTTCTCAGAGCCACCCCCAGGACACCCCCGCCCCCGCCTAACCAAGCGCTAGGAGCAGGAGCCCCAAGGTGTGCGGAGGGGGCTGGCCACGACAGGCGGGTTTCACTTACCTATTATGGGCACCTCGGCGATGAAGACCCTCCGTATAGAGTTGGCCACCCTGAGGGATGAAAACCCAGCCGCGTGAGGACGCCGCAGCCTCGACCGCGAAGGTGGCGGAGCCCAGCTCTAGAAGGACGTGACCCCCGCCCGGCCCGACTCCAGCCCCCCGCGTTCCACAGCCGCCAGCTTCCTCCCTCATGGGCCTTACGCCAGGTCCGTGTTCTCAATGATGAACTTGACATTCTCGTCGGTGAGCTCCGTGATCCGCACGGTGGGCTGGTTGGCATATGGCATGGTGCCCCACAAGCCGCCAGCTCCCGGGATTCGGCTCCCTGCGCCACCGCCGCCGCCGCCGCCGGAACTGGGTCAGCGCGGCCCGCGCCGCTTCCGCAGACACGCGCTCACAGCGCCATCTGCCGCTCGGAGGCCGTTGCCGCTCCGGGCCCCGTTTTACACCCCCACCTGCTTGAAGTGCATCAGGTTCAACTGTGGGAGGGGAGGGGCGGGGGCGGGAATTGGCAAAACCTGTGCACGCCCTCGACTCAATAACACTTCTAGGAATTCATACTACGAAAACGGCTGCAGCTGTCTTCAAAGTTACACGTTCGGGGGCGTTCCCTGCAGCACTGTTTGTAACAGCAAAAGATAACAAAACTAGGTATTTGACAGAGACCAGGTTAAATATACAAAACATAGACCACTACGATGCCTTTAAAAAAATGAAGTAAATCTGCACATTTATGGAAGAACATAAGTATACTTCAAAGTCCGGCTCACGCTCTCTGAAACTGCAGGAAGATACAATGCTTTTCACTTCAATGCATCATCTGCAGTCTGTGTACTTGTGGCAGGTGGGTGGGGGCTCTTCATCTCCACATGCCTGGCAGTGTGCAGATGCTCAATAGAGAGTACCAAAACCCCCCACCCCACCCCACCCCACCCATAGCCTGGAGAAAGGTCTGAATGGGCACCTGCTCATAACAGAGAAGAGGCTCTAAAATAGAACTTAGCAGGAGCTACATTTAAGGGGCAGAAAAGTAAGAGAGGAGATAAAGAGTTTGCCTTAGCTGGGGGTGACACTCTTCCTGAGACAGAGAGAAAGGGCACTGAGGGGGCCTGTGCTTCACAGCCTGTGTCATCTCAGGAAATTAAGGATTAAGGTTGTTGAGTGCAAGAGGGATGCTATGGAACCATGAGAATGGAATGAAATTTGGTACGTAGGGGACTTGACAGGGAGTCATGATACAAAGAATTAAAGAGGTGCAGAAAGGGGCAGGTGGAAGGCCAAAAGATTGGAAACACCTGTCAGCTGGTGACTTCCCCCATCAATACCCTGTCAACTTAGGTCGGACAGAGCAACGCAGAAGACAGATGCTCTGGACTGAATTGTGTTCCTCTCAAATGCTAAAGCCTAATGCCCAACATGGTATTTGGGGATGGAGTCTTTGGGAGGTCAGGAGAGTAGGAATAGTGCCCTCCTGAAAGGAAGAGTGCCCTTATAAGAACAGGAGGAGACACTGGAGCGAGCTCGCTCTCTGCCCTGTTAGAACATAGAGAAAAGGTGGCAAGTCAGAAAGACTTCACCAGGAACTGGCTGGCACCTTCATGTTGGACTTCCCAGCCTCCAGAACTGTGAGAAACCAATGTCTGTTGTAAAGTCACCCTATCTATGGTATTTTGTTATAGTAGCTCGAGAAGACTACAAAAGAGTTAACCAGGGGGCGCCTGGGTGGCTCAGTTGGTTAAGCGACTGCCTTCGGCTCAGGTCATGATCCTGGAGTCCCGGGATCGAGTCCCGCATCAGGCTCCCTGCTCAGCAGGGAGTCTGCTTCTCCCTCTGACCCTCTTCCCTCTCGTGCTCTCTCTCATTCTCTCTCTCTCAAATAAATAAATAAAATCTTTAAAAAAAAAAAAGTTAACCAGACTTGCAAAGGGAGCCCAGCCACTGTAGAGACAGAGGAAATTAATGCTAAAGAACAGATCCCTGAAATGATCAGTGATAGAAAATAGCAGCCAAGGGAGCTAACAGTGCAGGGAAGGCCACCATCACCCACACTTCCAGAAGGGAAGCACAGGCCCAGGGAGGCAGACCTGCCGTGACCACCCACTAGCAGTAGGCCGCACAAGGACCAGAGCCCGGGCCTTCTGGCTGCCAGCCTCAAGCCTTTCCGGCATCACTACTATCTCCTTCTGGGGTCCTGGATACCCGCTGTGGCCCAGATGGAAACTAACTGCCAACATGAAACCGCTTCAAACATATTTATTACTATTTTTATCCTCTAAAGTTCACTGCTAGCCCTGCCACACGTGCTTGTGTAACATGACAAAGGGCCCAGGTTCCCGCCTCTGGCCAGGCTGAGCACTGCTGTCCGGAGGTACCAGTCTCAGGTGAGGCAGCTTTCTGAAGGGTTCCCAGGTGCAGCACAGGACACCGGGGGGTGGGTGTGTGTGTGGGTGTGTGGGTGTGTGTGTGTGTGTGTGTGTGTGTGTGTGTGTGTGTGTAACACCTGTGTGCACAAGTCCGGGCCATGCCAGGGGTGTGCGGCCACCTTGTAATGCCTCCACACCCTGACTCTCATTTGGGAGCCCCAGAGAACACTTTAGGAAGGTTAAGACATGATCAAGGCATCCGTGAGACCATGACAGGGACGTGCTGGGTTTCTGTGGCTCGATGGCTTGGATGAGAGCTTCATTTTTCGATCACACAGCTGCAACGCAGAAAGGCATCAGGAGGCCTGGCCTGGTATTTGGAACTGAAGAGGTGACCCAATTGTAGGGTACAGCTGTATCGAGTGCCCTTTGGTTTCCAGGTGGCTGTTGTAGTGCCTAAGGAGTCCTTCAGCGTTTCCTCATTAACACCCTGAACGGCACTTCATATTTTTCAAAGCCCTTTCAATGTACCTGCAGCTTTTTTTCTGGGCACTCGACCTCACACCGTCCCGCTCACCGGCGCTGGTTTAGACCTGTCAAGTTCTTGAGCTGATATAGGGAAGCAAAGGGAATGATGAGGCCTTGCCCTGTCCCTAGGACTCCAATGGGAAAGACTGGGATTTTCAAGGTGGCAGGCATGGCTAAGACCCACGGATCTGACATGCCAGGGGCCTGGGAGTCAGCCATGCTTTTTAATGGCAGCAAAAAAAAAAAAAGAGGTAGGGAATTCGGAATCAGAGACTGGGGCTGAACCACTATCAGTCTTATTAGTAGCTTTCCGGTGTAAGGCTTTTGGGATCCTCGACACACGTTGTAAGGATCACAGTGCAGGAGTGGAAGGGGAGGAGGGCAGGGGTGAGCGGGGTGGTACTCACCGTCACTGCTGCACCCATGAGTCCCTGCACCAGTGCCTCTCCAGTAGACTTTACCTAGAAGGAGTCAAGGTCCGGTTCTCTTAAGCGCCCAACACAAGCTCAAAGGTGAAATAGGCAGGACAAATCGGCAGGGGGGGTGGGGGAGTGGGGGGGCGGCTCATGAGGACCCTGTGGACTAGAGGAAGAGCCTGTGGACACAACCACAAATGACCCAAGTGTGGCTCTTAGGGAAGGGCTGGTATGTGGAAGAGCCAGCCAGACTCCCTGGGCAGGCCCTCAGGACTGTCCTCTGAGGCCAAAGGGGAGCAAGAAGACAGAAGACCAGCTGTGGCTTGAGGAGGGTGGTGTGTCTAACGAAGCAGCTTCCCAAAGGGCTAGCCCCAACTACCTGCTCGGCAGTGTGGCCCATGTTCATTGCGTCATTAATGCGGTTTTCCAGGAAGCGCCAAGTGTCCTCAAAGTCTGGAGAGGAGTCCTGCATCATCACCAGCTCTGTCGTGTTGTAGATGCCAGCCAGCACAGCTCGGCGGGTATACCAGTTAAACTGCAAAATAACCCATTCAGGAAGGTGGGTCACCACTACTGCTGTGGACTGGGGGAAGTCGGGGGTGGTTCCTACCCAAAGCCATGGGCACACATGGGCTCCCTCCTGATCTCTTCTTTCCTCCAGATGTCCCCCCCTGGATAACAGTCCTGTTCTCAAACTTGGCTGCACACCAAATTACCTGGGAGATTAAAATGCAAACTCCTGGGCCCAACCTCTTAGAGCTTAGAGTCGGGGGGGGGGGGTCTGAAGAAAGTGCAAAGAATCTGGATGTCTGATAAGCATCCCAGGTGATTTTGTTACATCCAGTCCATTTTGAAACTGCTGGTGAAAAGACCAAGTCTTAGGCCACCTAAATGCCAGAGAGGCTCTATGGTCAGCCAGTTATGAGCACACCGTGGTGTGTTCATCAGTCATGTGAGGGTGGAGACAGGACCACGGACAGATCAGAACACCTGGGCCGAGCTGAGGGTTCCGGTCCCTCGGCCACTCAGGCTGGCCCAGCAAACTGCTCTTCGGAGCACTAGCTCAGCTGCTTCGTGTTTTATTCCTTTAATTTCTCGGCTTTCTAATTTCATTTTGTCACCAACTCTGTTGGTGATTGTACTCCCACACGGGGGAAGCTTATTAAAGTCCTTTGTTAGAACTGTGGCAGGAGTATCTCTTTGCTTCCCCAGCCTGGATTCCACAAAGCACCATCACAAATTAATTTCTTTTATGAAGGTACACTTTTTATTTTTTAATTTCCTACCAGAAATATGATAGCATTAACAAGTCAGATTCTTTCCTGGTGCCTGTTTAAAGGCTTATTGATCTCTTAGCAAAGCAGGCCAAAGTGGGCTGGGGGGAGGGAGTTCCTTGTCAAAGCAACTGGTGGCTCCATGGCATTCTTCTTCCTTTTTTTTTTAAAGTAGGCTCCCTGCCCAGCATGGAGCTTGAACTCATGACCCTGAGATCAAGACCCAAGGTGAAATCAAGAGTCGGACACGTAACCCACTGAGCTATCCAGGGCCCCCCCTTTTTAAAAATCAGTCTCATGAAAAACACACACTGAAAAAGCCCACCGCAGAATCTGAATCTTAGGAGACTGAGGAGAAAATACTTATAAAATGGCAGCCCAGTCACCACTAGAGGTCAGAGGGAACAATTGCTTATTTGTGGCTAGGGTGCTGGCCCTCGAGTGAGGACCTGGCTCCCACTGTGGCTTGTTGAGGGACCTTCCCCACCCCTAGCCTCTCCTTCCCATGACAAGAATGGCACTGCAGGCCCCCTAAAGGGATCTGTGATCAAAGAACTTTCACAAACTTCCTGAAGAAATGCCTAACCCATGCCTTTTCCGGTATCCTGTGGGTATGCAGAAAGCACTCACGTCAGTGGACTGGTCCCCAGCATAGTGCCACATGTCATCCACCATACTGGTGATCAGGCTGAGGCTGGATGGGATGTTGTGAGGGAGCATGAGGATGCTGAGGGCCTGAGGAGAGAAGGACGGAGAAATAGGTACCACACACAGAAATAACAGCGCATGGGTGGGATCGCGACTCACCCCTCCGTGGAGGTGTGTAAGAGGGCCTGCCCAACTCTCCTGCTGAGACCCACCATCTCCAC